ACTTCCAACATTAACTTAGAATTCCAAAGTGAGGTACTCTACAAGTGCTTTAAAATTATTAAATTCATATAAGTGTAAATCTCAGTGGTTTTGAAAATGCTACTGTATTTTGTTACTGAGCATTTTTGAATTGCTAGTGATTACAATCACAATTTATGAATAGTGAAAACTTAAACTATTCTAAGAAAATTGATTAATAAATTTCATACAGTAAATAAATTGTTGGGCTACAAAAGTATGCAGCCTGTCAGATATATGAAATCCAATAACAGAAATAAAAATAAAATCTTTAAAAATTTTACGAAGTGGCGAAGCATCTGAGAGCTATTTATCTTGTAAACAATACATTTTCAGTAGAATCAGTATGTAATTTAAAAAAATTGAGATACTTTGGAAACATGCTCTTCAGTGTAGTTGTTTTGTGATGAAACTGTTGATAGGGCTGCTTTGTTAATGCTTTTGAGATTTTCTTCACACAGTAAAACTAGAATTTATGTATGTATAGTTCTTGCTTTTATGTATGTATGCAAATTATACTGCTTTTAATTTCTCATGAAACATGCATGACTTTTCAGAATATTACGACATTATAAATCTCACAACTTGAGATTATTTATTCTAAGGCGCACACACAAAACCTTTCCTTTGAACACAAATTTCAAAGGAAAATATTATTGATATACACACAAGTATAGTTTCCATTAATTAATACATTGTTATTGATGAAGATTCCTTTAATGATTCTTACATAAGGCGATTTGGATTTTTTTCCAGATGAGAAACATTAAAGTTTCTTAAAAAAAAAAATAAACAGAATATTCTTAATTTTATCAACTTATAAACTTTTATTGCATCACTTGAATTTGTGTTCACTGAACTAATCGTTTTCAATTTAAATCAGAAATGTATTTTTCATATTGAATTGCAGTATGAGTAATAACCAAAATTTAATATCTTCATATTATCAGGTTCAGTGTTCCGCCTTACTTGCTTTGGGAACATGCAAAGACCTGACTCGGAACAGGGAGCTTACTAAAGCTATGTTCAATAAATGTGGGAAGTAGACAAGATACACAGGAAGGGTATACGAAACCCTTTATTTTTCACTCTTTACAATAATTTCCGGACTTCGGAATACAGAGAATACACTTGTGGTCTGAACGTAAGAATATAAAAATATTAACTAAACTCTAACTTAACTTTGAAATAATAAACAAGGGCCTACGTGGAAGATTGGCCGTATATTAACAGGAAGCCGTATGTAGTACAGAGACCTGTTAACACTACAATACGTTTAAAATTATTAAGAGGATTAAACCTCTGGCCTGGAAGGCAACCAGCAACCGAATAAAACTGCTAAGGCAAGCGGCCTGCTTCTACTAACTCCTTCCTCTCTCTTGCTTGGCAAAAAGCCACAACTTAAGTACCTGGCGTTCGCCAGACAAATTTGCATAAATAAGTTAAATCTTTTAATTCTGGCCGGAAGTAGAAAATAAGAAGTGATAGTAAAGATTTAAAATAAAATAAACGTTAGTAAAACTTAAGATCCTTACAATATAATAAGAAATCATTAATACACAGGGTAAAAATAAGTATGAAGTTAGATTATATTAGCATGCTAATGGATCAACTATAGCAAAAGACTCAAAAAACCTTCACCTAATCATTTGTACTATTTGTGCCGGATTATTTAATTAACACAAAATGCATAGGGGTTTAATAATTACTCCAATCCACTTTTGATAAGTCCTTCCTTGTCGTGAAATTACCTTATGATCATTTCGTTCAGCTACTACAAATCAAAGGAGAATTAACCCTGTACGGTGTGTACCTCTAACGCCTGCCCATCGGAGAAGGCGTCCTTTGTGGTGCCGGGAACACCGGAATTGGAGAGACAATGAATTGGGACGAGCACTATTTACAAATGAGAGCAGATTCAGTCCGAGTATCGATTCTCATCGCATACTCATCTGGAGAGAGTGGAGAAGCCGCAATCATCCCTCGAACATCATTGAAAGGGACAGGTATGGAGGTGGCGGTGTTCTCGTTTGGGGAGGCATCATGCTTGGTAGTCATACAGACCTTCACAGGTCTGTATGACTACCTGTGTCTGTACCTGTTGACTGAACCTGTGTCTGTACGACACAGGTTCAGTCAACGGGACCCGTTATTGTAACGAGATTCTTCTTCCATATGTGCGTCTTTTTAGAGGCGCTATGGGTCTGCAGTTCCTTTTTATGGACGACAATGCACCATGTCATCACACAGTAGCTGCCGAACAGCTCTTAGAGAACGAGGATATTGAACGTATGGATTGGCCGGCACGATCTCCGGATTTCAATCCCATCGAGCATGTATGGGATTTTCTAGGCAGACGCTTGGCAGCTCGTACCTTACCACCAGTAACGATTCCGGAGCTTCGATTGGCGCTGCAAGACGAATGGGCAGCAATGCGTCAACAACTCATTGACACCCTCATTCTCAGCATGGGCAGACGCTGTGAAACTTCCCTAGCAGTCAGGGGAGATCATATTCCCTATTAAAGGCCAGATGTTTCTTGCTGGACATCCATCACAGGGATGTTTTGGCTTTCAGTAGCATTGCGCTTCATCCTACTTTTTCAATAACGCTTCTTTTTATCCCTCTGATTTCTCTTTTAGTAAGTGTTGCTTACATTACTCATGTCCTTACGTATTGGGGATCTTACGGTATTAAATGTGTTGATTTGGAAAGCTTTTGTACAAAGTCTCGTCCTTAATTTTTGCACACCAGTGTAGACTGCAATCACACCACTCACCTGAAGGCAAAAATATAGAAAAGGCAAAATCAAGGGTTAAATTCATCAATTCTAATGAGAATGCAGTAGCGAAGTAAAGCACTGCGGTTTTTACATAATTTCTGAGTAAGCTATTTGTGCGAGTTGAAATAATTCTTGCATTTAAACTTGTATTCCAAATTAAGATTTAACTTGAAATTAATGTGGATAATTACTGAGAGAATTAGATTTTTGTAGCGTAATTTACGTGCAATGAGATCACGTGATACGAACCGGCAAATCAGGATGTTGAACCATGAAAACATAGTAAATTCTTAATGTCTTTTTACAAATTTATTATCTTTATTTATTGGCTTTTTACAAAATTTTAAAAGATATTAAAATGTTTGTGCCTTCAAAATAAAAAATTCTTAGAACTAACAGTTGTTAAAAATTTTTTATGTGTATATTGTATGTTGTCATCAACAAGTCTGCTTGGCGAGATTTGCGCCAGTGAAACTGAAAAGTACCTCAGAAACTAAACATAAAGATTAAATAAATAAATTTGAACGAATTTTTTTAAGGAATGAGCTGAGAGCATGAAAAATTAAAATGTGTTTTTGAAAAAAATATACAAACAGTTTCTGAGAAAGATTTACAGGCATCCTTAAAAGTTTCGTATTTAATTGCAAAAAATTTAAAACCTCATACAATTGGAGAATCACTCATTCTTCCTTCAGCAATTAAAATGACATCATTTATGCATGCAGAAAAATATAGTAACGATTTAAAAACAATAGCATTAAAAAAGATACTGTTTCTCACCAAATTTTTGTCATATCAGACACTATAGAATACAAAATTCAGTCTACTATAAAACTTGAAACTAGCGACATTACTAAAATGTTTCAATTTATCGTTTATGTGAGATATGTTTTTGAAAACAACGCAGTAGAATATTTTTTATGTTGTAATATTTGGGAAGGAAAAGCAACTGGAGAGAAAATATTTGAAATTATTAACAGACATTTTGAAACAATGTTACCTAGACACACTGTGTCGCAGTTTGTACTAATGTAAGCTTTTAAAACTAAGACAATACTTTGGCAAGGAGAATTGAACAAACAAAAAAAAAAAAAAAAAAAAAAAAAAAACAGAAACATGCTTTTTCACAATTTACTAAAGAAAATAATACAGATTTCTTGTTTAAAACGACATATGATAAAATTGACAGAAAGTTTTTGAAAAATTTCCAAATAAGGAATTAGGTTGGATCTGTGACCCATTTTGCCTTTGGTGTTTTCAATTCCAACGTATCTCTAAATGAAAAAGAACAATTAATTGATATTTTAAGTGACGGAATACTGTATGTTAAGTCTCTAACTTGCCAAAATTTTAGTTGATTGGAAACTAATATGCCGATTTAAAAGGAATGAAAGTAATTATTACGTTTCTTACGTAAATTGTACAGTAAACCTTTAGCTTCTATTTAAAAACTTCTAAATGCTTATGTTACATTTTTCTGTTATATAAGCATTGAAAGTGGATTTCTCACGAAATAGAAATAATTTTGCTATTGAATTAACATGGAGAACTTTTTTCATTGAAATATTTTTTCTCTGTGCCATTTAGTTGCATCTATTACAAACTAAAGATTAACGAGCTGTTTCTGTAAAACATTTTGAATTCGTTGTCATATTGATCTATGAAAGCACTAGATTAGTGAGTTTTTATTACATTATTGACAAATATAGTTTTTAAACAATCAAAAAATTTAAAGCGGAGATAATTATTTGTCAAATATGAATGTGTTTTCAAAGAGGAAATAAATAATAAGTGATAGAAAGAAAATTCAGTCAGAACATTCACATCTCTAACAAAGTAAGTTGCTTTGATTTAATCTTTATAATACAATTTATTTTAAAATGATAAGGCAAAATCCAATGTGAAAGGTTATGCGAAGATTACGATAGTACTTAGAGTATTCAGCATTTCGTATAATCCTATAAACCAGATAATAATAATATTAAAATAAATTTTATCTGAATGAAGTGTTCTTATTACAGAAACAGTAAAATTATGCAATTACATAAACGAATACACTTTCGGACAATATACTTAATACTGTTTACAAGCACAAGCCCAAGTTCTGTTTATGTTACATCTCGCCCTTCAGCGCATGCTCAAGAATTACCATCCAGGCGAAACTAGTCGATTTGACCATGACGTCAAAAATTCGAAAAGTGGGGTAGGGTTTGGAAATACGCATCACGACGTCCCTGCGAGAAGAAAAACCTTGCCTGCAAACGCTGCTCGGACTAAATGCCCGGATAGATTTTCAACAGGTTCAAAGCAGAAACGGAAGCGCTGACTCATCTCCCCAACGTTTCGGTTTCTACTCCGTCGAAGTGAGCGTTTACACTGTCAAAGTAATCGTAATGAAATCTAATTCATTTCTGAAACTCTCTGTTCTTCGTAGTAATAGTAAGGGATTTTAGTCGTTTAATTTTCAAAACTTTTCATTTCGCAACAGCAAGGCTACGCCTAAACGTTTCAACTGTGTTGCAACGTGATCTTGTTTACCTTTTCTTCGGCGAGAATCAAACGTAATAGTGTTGTGAAACTACAAATAAAAAAAAATGAGTATTAAAGAAGTTGCTAAACTTACGGGTCATAAGGACAGGGTATGGTGTGTTGCATGGAATCCAGCAGGAACATTATTAGCAAGTTGTAGTGGCGATAAAACCATTCGAATATGGGGTAAAGCTGATGAAACCTGGAAGTCACTAGCTGTACTTACCGAAGCTCACCATCGATCTATTAGAAGTGTTGCATGGTCACCCTGCGGAACATTTTTAGCTTCAACCAGCTTTGATGCTACAACATGCATATGGGACAGAAGAAGTGGGGAATTCGAATACGTAGCAACTCTCGAAGGTCATGAAAATGAAGTGAAAAGTGTTGCTTGGTCAAGTTCTGGACAATATCTTGCCACTTGCAGTCGTGACAAATCAGTATGGGTTTGGGAGGTTGGCGAAGATTGTGATTATGAATGTGCAAGTGTTCTTAATAGTCATTCGCAAGATGTCAAGCGTGTTCTTTGGCATCCTGCGAAAGATATTCTTGTTTCAACTAGTTATGATGACACTATTAAGTTTTATAAAGAAGACAGCGATGATTGGTCAGTATTCTGCACTTTAACAGGCCATACTTCTACAGTGTGGTCGGCCGATTTTAATAATGGTGGCAATATGTTGGCATCTTGCAGTGCTGACACAACAGTTAAAATTTGGCGAGAGTATCTTCCTGGTAACCCAGAAGGAGTTCCTACTACTAATCATGACCCTATGTGGAAATGCGTGTGTACACTATCTGGATATCATGAGCGACCAGTATATGATATTTCATGGTCCTCGTTGACTAATCTTCTTGCTACGGCGTGTGGTGATAATTGTATACGAATTTTTCATGAAGAAAGAGATTCTGATCCACATGCCCCAACTATAAATCTTTATGCTACTGCAAAAGATGCATATGATCAAGATGTTAATGCCGTTGATTGGAATCCTAAAATTCCCGGTTTGTTAGCATCATGTAGTGATGATTATGATGTAAAATTATGGCAGGTTGAAATACCAGCTACTTAGATATGTGATATTTAATTTGTGATATAATTGCCCCTTTTTTATTTATTTAATTTTTTTTTTTATGAATAGAATTAGTAAACTTTAGGATATAATTTTTGAGGCAAAATGTAGTCTGTAAATGTTGTTTGTCATTTTTATTAGAAAATATTCTAATAATTTTGTAGACATGAAAGGTATCGCTGTTGTTAAAAATTAAAGATAGCTGCAAAATCTTTCCTGATTAAATTGTTGTATTAAATTTCAAGAAACCTGAAATAAGTTCCAAGTGGTACATTTTAATTATAAAGAAACTGTAGCATTAGTATGAGGCATAAGTTTACAATTGGGTGCCGTTGTTTTCTGGCGATTCTTTTTTGACGGTGCCAGGAATTTTAAGATGTATGCTACACAAAACCAAAATAAGAAGTCAAAGAATTGCACAAACTCTGTGTCCATGTACACATCGATCTGTTTTCACTTAAAAAAACATCCTAGAATTGCACAAACTAGACATTTTCACTGCCTTAAATTTTTCCATGTACACATCAATCTATTTTCATTTAAATAAAATCAGGAAGCTAAAACAAAGTTAAAACTATCATGGTAACAGAAGTGATGTTTCATCGCCAAAATTTAAAAAAAAATTGTCGCTAATCAAAGGGCACCCAATTCTACACTACAGCCCAACTCTGAAATAATTGTAAAGAAAAAAGTCATTCTTAATTGCATGCTACAGACACATACCATGTCATAAACATGTAATTGTTATTAATTTTATATTGACAAATTAACACCATAAGAATTTTATTAGTAAAAATATATTTACAGGTGCCCTTTGGCAAACATTGGTGATTTTTGGTGGTACGTGGACACCGAGTTTATGCAGTTCTTTGACCTTGTTACTTTGACTTTATGTAGCGAAAAGAGTCGCCGCTACATAGTTTCCAAAATAACAAATAAAAGAATTGCACAAATTCGATGTCCATGTACACATCAACCTATTTTCACTTAAGAAAACATCAGAGAATTGCACAATCTCGGCATTGTGCGCTCTGTTGACTTTGTACATATACACATCAATCTGTTTTCACTTAAAAAGTCAAAGGAGCACCCAATTCTACAGTAGAGCCAAACAAAAAATATATAATCTCAATATACATATTAAATCAAACAATGAAATAACATTAAAGAAGGAAATTCATCTCTTACCATCTAAGCATTACACAAAGGAAATATCCACTTACCTTATTTAGAAATTTCCCGTGTCTTCAGTCCGTGTCACATAAAAATCCTTCACAGCATCCAAAAACTTGGCTAATCTTTGGAATATGGTAACAGATAGGTTGGCGACATTTTGGTAAGGCAATAAAGGTTACTAGCTAGTGTACATAGATAAAGTCGAGTGTGCGCAATACCATTTTTGTGCAATTCTGGGATGTTTTTTTTAAGTGAAAATAGGTTGACGTGTACATGGATATTGTGTATGTGCAGTTCTTAAAAATGCGGCAAAGAGTTTGCGATTCTGCACTTTCTCCCAATTTCGCAGGTAATCTTCGTCATGATTAAGCACTTTTGTTCTATAAAAGTTCTAGCATAAGCGTAATTCAGCTAGCAGATTGTTGGAAAAAAATGTTGAGTAAAAACAAAATGCCTTTACTTCGTGAAAACAAAATGGCGTCCAAACAAAAACTAGCAGGGTTGGTCGCCAAATTTTCGCCAAAAAATTGCCAAGTTACCATAATCCAAAGATTAACCAAAAAATTTCCTCAAACCGTGTTTCCTTTCTAATGGAACACTTTATATGATGAGCATTTGAACCTTTCTTGCGGTAAACCCACTCAAAGCCATCTGAACGATCTTTACATTCGACCATATGCATTTCCTTCGTACAAACAGGATACTTATAATTCTGTTGAATTATATCCAAGAAAGTTTCCTTTCTTCTGTCCTCAACCACTTAAAAAAAAAAAAAAAAAAAAACACCTTTGGCTCTTTTGTTCTATACCAACAAAAAATCCACTATTCAACTACTCAGGTTACCATAAATGAAACAACTTTACGATAATCCAAGGAGCGCTCTTAAATATACATTAACCTATTTATTTATTGATGTGAATTGATCATTAATAAAAAAGAAATAAACAAAAAATTTTGTATGAATATTTCTGAATGAAAGTATGATTTTGTGCTGGGAATAATTTAGTAAATTTTGAAGTGAATATCCTTTTCACGAAGAAACAAGATAGCCACTTCTTTATCTCCCCATAAATCCCAAGTCATGAATTCCATTGCAATGAAGGAAATATTCTGTAAGTGATGTTTCTGAAGACATTTATATCCAAGAAGAAAGCCAAGCCAAACTGATGATACCTGCTACTGAAGAAACATCAAAAGAAGGGCTGGTGTTAGGTTCTTTTTGCCACCGGGCACAAACCTGCAGCTCTGAAATTCTGCCTGCAGTTACTTTCTAAATTATAAAAATTTTGTCGTCCATAAACTCTATTGACCCAAACAAAGAAAGCACTAAATAGTGTGGTTTTAATGGAAAAGTGCTTAAATTTCTGTATGATACGTTATAAAAAATTTCTGAGAATTTATTTTTGCCTACACTTTACACTTGCTTTTCGAGAATTTAAAATTCGATATAAGATATAATTTTAGTAAAGTTTTTGGTTAGAGTTGACTTTAGGGTGCCCCTTGTATTATTACAAAGTTGTTTTTTTCATTTATCATTAAGTTGTTGTTTCATTTATGGTAGCCTGAGTAGTTGGATGTTTTGGAAACCCTATTATGACATAATCATTGCGGTAAATTCATAAGGGCTTGTGGTTTCGTGTGTGTTGGTTAGGAAGTATATTGCTTGTTTCGTGGTTTAGACGGTAAAATGACCGAATGTGGTAAGATTAATTTGAAGTTTCTATATGATTTTTGAAAGAAAGGGGAAAAGAGCATTACTTGACTGGTGTGTAAATGGAGGTTTACTTAGTAGCCATTATAATGTGTCCTGTTTGTAGGAAGGGAATACGTATGATCGATTGTCGTTACGAGGGATATTTTTGGCTCTTATTTTGTGAATTTATGTGGCGATGCCAGTATACAGATTCAGGTTCAGATAATGTTAGGGAGGTTTTGGATGCTGTTAAGGAATTTTCTTTGATTGAAGAGATGTGAATACATAAATAAGTTAAGTGGATATTTCCTTTGTGTAGTGCAAAGATGAATTTCCTTTTTCATGTTATTTCAGTGTTTGATTTAAAATGTAGTTTTTTTGAGATTATATATTTTTTTGTTGGCTGCTCCTTTGACTTTTGAAGTGAATATAGTTCGATGTGTACATGGACAAACTCAAGTGAGTGCGCAAAGCCTAGTTTGTGCAATTCTCTGATTTTTTTTTTAAGTGAAAATAGGTCGATGTGTACATGGATACCGAGTTTGTGCAATTCTTTGTCTGGTTATTTTGGCTTTGTGTATAGGCGATATTTGATGGGCATATGTAGTTTCATCCCATTTGGATAACTCCTTCTTAATTTGCTGTCTTTATGTTAGAGGCAAAAGCAAAACATTATGACCACATACTCAATAACGTGTTGCATGACCTTTGGCCTACAACACAGCGACAACTCCTTTTGGCATGGATGCCATAAATTCTTGGTTCATAAAAGGTTAGCATAAAAGGTTCATATAAAATAAAAGGTTACCATCCTTTATTGTATTGAATTACTAATATTAAAAATGGGGAAAAAGTGTTTAGATATCCCTGCAAGAGTAAGTTCTCAGGTTGCAGTGTGTTAATAGTCATGTGGGGATGAATGTAAAAAATAATAAATAATGATTCACCAGGCTGACATGAGTGCCTAAAGTAAATTAAGAACTTGAACTCTCTACATGTTTTATTATGAAAATATATTAAATGTACAAGCATAAAAAAGATGTCTAAAAATGTGGTGCTTGTCATTCAGAGCTCCAGTAGATCATTCTATATATCGGACATCCAGATTTTCGACCCACAAATATCTTTCGTTTATTTTTATTCCTATAGCACAGGCAAGTGCTTTTGTTGTGCTTTTGAACATACTGTTGTCTTTTACAAGTAGTTAAGGTTTTTATGTTTGGTTTAGAAAGATGAAAATAATTCTGTAAAAAAAATAATTGTATTTTTACATCTATTTGAACAACAACATGCTGACTAAAAGCCCCTATTGTTGTGTATGTTAAGCTGTGTTGTGCAAAACCCGTGTAGCTGGCTTTATGAGTGTGTAAAACTACAGTCATACAATTGAAAGACTTTTACTTGGATGATCATTTGATTTCATTAAAGCTTGTAATTTGTAAAGCATAGGGTAATATTTAAATTTTAATGTGATGGCTGTAATAGATATATAAATTAATTTTTTTTGACTGTATTGTGATATGGCTGGGAGTATGGAATAGAGAATTCATATCTCTTTAAAAGACTCAGTATCTAGAACTGTTGAAGATTGTATCCAGGATATATATATTGTAATTTAATCTGTTGATGAAATCATGAACTGGTGAGAACAATAAGTAGGCTACTGAGTACAGTAATATTATTCATATCTTCATTGATCCATAATTGTACAAAATATGACAATGAAGTTTGGTAAATGACATTACATGGTGTGCACACACAGTAGTAGGAGAATGACAAACCACGGAAAGGATATTATGTAAGGCGTTTAAACGTATCTGAACTTAGTTTAGCAATATATTTTATGGATTTCTGTTAGTAAAAATGTAGCTTGAAAAGTCATAACAATGTCTGTAAGAGGAGCATCAAATGAATTTAAATTTCTGTTTCTGCATAGATAAATCTTCAAAAGAGTGTCAGTATCATGTATACTGAAATGGTGAAACAAATTTATGGGGGTGAAATCTTATTTTAAATTGTGTTTATGAATACTTTAAATGTTTTTGTGATGGGTGAGATTGCACCAAAGATACTGTTCAAAGTGATAGGCCTACAATGTCTCATAGTGGCAAAATACTAAAAATATTCAGGAGATCAGAAAGAGCCAGAATTTCAGATCATAATCTTTGCCAGAAAGAGCAATGAATGCTAACAGGTATAAGGACGTTTATGCAGCTTAACTATAAAGGATCAATAATGTATATTCCTAATGCAGTCAAAAGTCGTTAATTCGGACTCGTCGGGACTTCGGCGATTCCGGATTATAGATCATCAGTTTAAATCTGGTAAGATGGCATGCAGAAATTATAAAATTAAA